TATTTACACGCCTGTGGGTTATCTTAACAGCTTCATCCAAAGTAACAAAGGAAGTCTGCAGCGAAGCTACTCCTACTGCTTTGGCATTATTCCTCTTTAATTCAGAGGCATCGTCCCCACCTCTGGCTAAACCAGTCAGTTTGTAACTGTCAGTTTCTTCATGGTTATGTTCAAATACTGGCAAATATCACCTGCGGCATTATCCTCGCCGGAAACTCCACTTAGCCTTCACTTACACTGTAGATAACTGTGGTGCCCAAGTCCCCTCGGACTGTGAACGTGGCCTCGGCAAGTAAGGGCAGCTTCTCTCATCACATTTTGATCTCTGTTATTTTCTTCAGGGTCTGGCGAAATCAGGGAGTTAAGGCATCATATTGTTTCTTCGGGAGGTTTTGACCTGTCTTGCTCCTTTTAATGGAGCCTTTGCAATGGTCTGTGCCACCTGCCAGGGAGAGGTCTCACTTGGGTCTTTGCCCACATTCTGAAGGTGACTATTTGGCTCGGGTCCCCTGCAACAGTCTCAGCCACAGCGCCTTCCTCTGGGAGGAGGATGCTCGTTGTGCCCATTCTCTAATGGGGTGTGTGTGTGTGTGTGTGTGTGTGTGTGTGTGTTCAGTTTTGATAGAAATGCTCCTGTTCTGTTAAGTTTGAAACCGGCTTCTGTTACTTGCAAACTCACAGGTAGTCTACTTTTGAATTCAACAGAAATAAAAGCTGACGTTTATTGAGCACATACTTTGCATCAGGCACTGTTCTAAGTGACTTACAGGTTGTAGTCCCCTAGATATGTGTTGTTTTTATAAACATCATATGTTTGATATATGACGGGGAGTGAGGTGGGGAGGGAAAGGCTACCCCCTTCTTTCATGTCTACAGAGAAAGCTCTTTTTGGATGACAATCCAAATATTTAGATAACTGATCTAAATATTTAGATCTAAATATTAACCATCATTACAATTTAGTTTACAAATCCACTTAACAGCATAAATAAACAGGTTCAGCAATCCAACCTTGCCTAGATTTGAATTGGCTAAGTTTTATTTGTGTTTCGGTTGATTGAAAAAATCTAAGCTGTTGGTGTCACAAGCGTTCATGAATCACGGGAGCCAGTCCTCAAGTGAGATAGCATGGCTCACGTTTTTAAAAATTACGTAGTATGCATGTTTTTATTTGTTTTAGGTAAATGTCTGACAGTATTCAATTCAATAAATTTTATAGAAGAGATCTCCCAAACTTCAGTCTCCCCCTAAAATAAAGGCAGAAAATAAAAGCTCATTTAAGACACACAGTTTTTAAACATTGCATTGGCATGAGGGCAGCAGCCTGCACGGGCAGTGACCAGATATTCTGAATTCTTGTGTGAGGCAAGGACCATTATTTCCTGAAGTTTGGAAAGCGACCAGAAGTTTGTTGAGGGTCCCCAAGGTGACTGTGCTGCTGGCCTTATAATAGAACTACATCTGTGACAGGCAGAGCCCCTTTGGGGCCTGGGCACTGTCCTCTGGTTCCCGGGGGGCTGTGAGCTTGAGTTATGGGTGAGTCGAGTCATTGAACAGGGACTGCCCTTACGTGCCTGGCTTCTGGAAAATCAGTCCTTTATGCTGCAACTTCTTTCCACCCTTTGACATCAACAGGAAGATGTGGAGCCCCCTTTCCCACATTATAGTCATGTTTCCACCCTGGGAAGAGGTAGATGACTGGAGTCCCACAGGGTAGCCAAGCAGCAGGCGTGGATTCAGTGAATGGCCTCCCGCGCCCATTGCCACGGTGCACCCTGAGCTGTGGAAAGTGGCAGTCAGCAGAGTGACATCGCCGATCTGCTCCTCACGGGCCCTGTGTCCCTTTGACTAATGTCCAGCTGCTATATTTAGATGGACTGATCACAGGCAGCTGGCTCTCCCACAGCCGATGCAGCGGGCCCAGGGTTGGCCTCTGTTCACCCACCTTCCTCAGCGGAGCTCAAGACAGCTTTGGACATTGAGGTGCAAGGAACGCTCAGTCCATCTCCTTCCCCTCCATCTGTTCCCTGGTGGCGACCCCACCCCTCTTAACCTCTGGGCTTTGACCTTGGTGATTGCTCTCCTCACTCTTTAACCTTTGGACTCAATGCTTGACACTTTTTCCTAAAATAACTGTATTTCTTTCTCTGTTCCTTTTCCTGTTCTCTGTTCCTATTTCTTTCGCTGTTCCACCGTACTGCCTTATGCCATCTTGGGGAAGCTCTGGGACTCTCCCATCTGGGTAAGGCTGGGCGGGCAGAGGTGTATGTGGCTCGCCTACTCTCCGTCTTCCCGATATTAGCCCCCACCAATTCAAATCTAGGGTCTCACCACTTAATGGGAGGCTGTGTGCAAGTTACCTGGACCATTTGACTCTGTTTCTTGTATAAATGGGGTCTTGAGTCCCTTTCTCACAGGGCTGTAGTGAGATTTACTGATTACACACACACACAGTCCTTCACTGTGTAATACTCAGATACTAGCTAAATAACTCTAGAAATAAGGCAGCTTTCTGTATTTCCCTTTCCCCCCACCTTGGTCTCTGCTCCCAGGTTGTGAGGTCCTGTCCTCCTGCCTCAGTCCTCCTCCCGAATTAGTCAGTAAAAGGGACTCAGACAGAGTGCTCCCCTCCCCTGGTAGCAGAGAATCTCTCATTGGCTGCCATCACCATGGCAACTCACTGTCTCCTCCCCTCTCCCCCCTTCCCCCCTTTTCCAGAGCAGCCGATTGTGGAGTTCCAGACTTCTCAGCGCTGGGAGGGAGGAGGAAAGAAATGATTGGGGGGGGGGGGAGGGGAGAGAGGCTCCCTTGACTGCAAAGGCGGCCACGTGGTTCAGGTTCGCTTGGATTCCTGAGACCAGCCTGGCCCGCAGTGTGGCCTCTACTATCTCTGCGCATTCAGGCAACCATTTAGATATCCCTAGGCACTCCTGATTCCCTTTGAATTGGGCCAGCTTGGGACCTGAGGGTCCTGGGTTCGTGGCATGTGGCATGCATGATAGGCATGTTATTCCAACCGAAGAAGGGTTTTCGCACCACTGCCTTTGCAACGCTGCTGGGGGTTACACGACAGGACCAGTGGGAGCGAGCTTTGTGAACTCCAAAGGCTGTCAGGGGTCATTCAGTATTCCGGTCACCCCCCACCCCCACCCTGTGTGGTGGCCAGAGCGGGGCTACAAAATGGGTGCTTTCCTCTCCTTTCCTGATGAGCGGGGGGGGGGGGGGCGGTTGGAGTTGGAGATATAAGTCCACGTGGGGCCCCCAGAGAACAGCACAGGGCACTGGGCAGGGAGCCGCCAACCAGTGGGTCCCAGCTGTGTGGTCCGTGCCAGGGCCCGAGAACCTGCTTCCTCCCCCGAGACGCTTGCAGAGCGGATACACGGCAGGGCTTCTACATGCACAAATGGTGATGTGCACCTGCTCTTAGTGCTTGCGATTCAAAAATGATTTAAAAGCATGGCCTGAAGAAAGGTAACTTTTGTCTGTTCTTTGTCAGCAGGGCGGTGGTGGTAGAGGGTGGGGGGTCAGTGACATTGATGGTGGTAGAGCAGACCTGCCATAGAAAGGGTGAGGGGAGGACATCCTGACACCTGCTACAATGAGGATGAGCCTTGAGGATATGATGCGAAGTGAAGTAAGCCAGAAACAAAAGGACAAATACTATATGATCCTAATTATATGAGGTAATACATGAGGTAATGAATTTGCTACAAGAGGCAAATTCATTGGGACAAAAAGATTAGAGGTCACCAGGAGCCGGGAGGGGGAGGGGGAGAGGGAGAGGGGAGTTACCGTTTTACAGGGACAGGGTTTCAATTTGGGAAGAAGAAAGAGTTCTGGAGAATGCTGATGGCTGCACAAAATCGTGAATGTGCCTAATGCCATCGAAGTGTATACAGAGAAATGGGTAAAGTGGTAAGTTTGGTGTTTTGTGTATTTTACCACAGTAAAAGAAATCCACCCCCCTCCCCAGAGAAAGGAGGTGAGGTGAGGCAGGGTGCTGGGGCGCTGCCATGGGAGTGCGGGGGTGGAGAACACACTCAGTGAGGCTTTGATGGGAGAGGCATTTTAGAAAAGGGGTCTTGTTTGACCGGCTGCCTGGCCCTGCCACTTCCCGTGGACCGGCTGGCTGAGAAGGTGACATCAGGGGTTTCCTGCCCTCATTTCCTGAGGGAACTAGGGAAGCCACCATGTATGACCTGTCCCCTACCTGTCCCCTCCCCTCGGGGGTCCATCTGTTTTAGGAATCACCAGGGTAGTGATGCTCCTCAGCTTCAGTCATGCTCTTCTTCCCTCTGGACGGCCCAGGGAGGGTTGAGTGGCCTGTGAGGACCCACCAGCGCTAGTCAGTCAAGTTGCCACAGGAGAGGCGTGGCCAACATCACAGCCAGGTGGCAAGAGGGAACCCCTGCTCTCCTGGGACCCATGGGCCACGCCCTCACGAGCTCCAAGGCCTGGGGTGTCTGCAGCCCCTCCCTGCCTTCTGAGTCACCGTTCAAACCCACCAGCCCTTCCGACAGCAGCTGGAAACAGGCACCAAGCCCTCCGGAAGCTATTTTTGGGGTTCATCTGTTCTTTCTGATTTCTCCTCTAGATTCCATATTTTCCCACCCCCAGATCTGAAAGAGCTAAAGATTCTGGAAATCATTCATCATTCCCCCTCTCCAGGTGCTCTCCCTCGCTGGACAGCTCAGCTTGCAAGCGGTGCCTTCACCCCCACCTTCCTGTACCACTCCCCCCTTCTTTTCTGGATCCCCACCCTCACCCTCTGGCCCCCAGCTCTGCAGGCGGCATGGAGAGCAGGCTATTTGTCTGACATCATCCTCCACTCCCCGGCCTGCTAAGAGTTACTCACTCAGGCAATCCCTGCTCCGCCAGAGGAGGCTGTCCAATTGCCAAGCAACCCACTGCTGGCCAATCACAGAGCTCAGAGGTGATGTCATGGCCAGAGCGAGCAGCGGTGCTGATGTGGGGAGAAGCCCAGGGTACCACTAATTGAGGGAGTGAGGAAGGGAGCAGCTCGCCTCGAACGGGACCGCAGGTAAGTAGGAATGAAATGCAAATTATTTGAGGCTTTTCAGACAAAAGAGAAAAAAAAATTAGCAGCGGCAGGGAGGAGAAGTGAGGGGTCTGGTACCATTTGTGTCGCCTTTTGGTGTCACTGGATCAATTAAACTTTGTCAAATCCTGGGGGAAACGGGGTGATGTGAAAAGAATGGGGCTATCCCAAGGGGTGAGGACGGGATAGAGGCAGTCCTTCTATTCCAGAGCTCAGGAGAGAGAGAGGCAGGCGGGAATTGCCAGGGTTTCTTTCAGGTCGGATATCCACGGTGAGTTTTTTCTGCATAAAAATGTTCTGTTGCTCAGGCAGAACGGTTTTGTTCAAAGTCTGGCTTCGCCTGAGCTGGCTCTGATGCCCAGACCCGTTTCAAGCTAGCAGCTGCCCTGGGTTTTACCTTTCCTTTCTCGACCACAGTTTTCCTTGGCTCCTTTCCTTTCTCCTCTGTCTGCACTGGGTTACTTTTTGCTCCTGGTTCTGAGGCTACAATGAGATCACCACCTCTTCCTCGCCCCGCCCCGCCCCGCCCCGCCCTGGGGTCAACCCGCTCCTACCTGAGCAGTGCCAGTGGGCTGTCAGGCTGCAAACTGCGGGAAGCCACAACTGCCACGCCCTGGTCCCCGCGGGTGGCCGAGCCGGCCCCTCCTCGCTCAGCCCACTGCCCTCGCCAGGAGTTTAGGGATTGCTCTCTTCTCATCCAGGGGGCCACCACCGGGGATTTGCTGTCCAGTGGCCAGTTCTGTCCCCACGTGGTGGTGCTGTCTTTGTCTCATTCCTTCCAGGAAGACACAGTCAGGTGTGGAGGAGTCCCATTGTCCTGAAAAAAAAAAAAAGGCAGGTCCCCTGAACCCCTTGGGGGGGGTCAGAAATATTGAGGCAGCCCAGGTCAGAACCCCCTGGGCAAGGATACCCCCGTGTCTCAAGACCAAGAGAACACATTGGGAGGGGATGGCCAGCGGTGGCCTGCTGGAGTTCTGCGGGGTGGGTGACAGGTTGAGAAGGAATGTGGGAGAATCTGTCTCTACTGAGGCTGAGGCCCCCTCTAGGGGGAGGAAACCTCTCCCAAAGGCAGGGTGCCAGGGGGAATGAGATCATCCATCAGATGAGGAGATAATCATAGTGCTGGAGCGAGAGGTGAGGAGGCAGAGAGGCAAGGTCTGATTAGCAGCTCCACCGAACGAAGCTAGAGCCTCCAGAGACCCTACCTTGTCCTCTAGGGCCAGCCAGCACCCTCTCCTCAGCTTGCTCCGAGCCTCCACCTTGCTGCTAGGAACTGTGCTTGCACCCTCCTTGAAACCCACTCATCACCAGTGCCAGAGCACCTGTCAGCAGGTCCCAGCCCTTCTGGGATCCCCAGCTCCACCCAGGCCGCTCCTGGAACAGGTTTGGAGTGGACAAGGATCCTTAACTGCTAAGATGGATCCACCAAGAGCATTGTAGGGAGTGAGCTCCCCATCACCGAGGGCATTCAAGCAGATGTTGGCTGACTACTTGCAGGGTGGCTGTAGAGATTTCTGCATTGTGTTGGAGACTGGGTCTTGGTTAGTGTTTTTCAAACTGCAGATTGAGATCCAATAGTGTATTGTGAAATCCAATTAGTGGGTTGTAACTGGTATTTTTTTTCAAATAAAATGGGATAAAATAGAGTAGAAAAAAAGTCAAAACACAGCCCATATAGTGGAGTGAATGTTTCCTCTACCTTGATTAGTTATGTATTTTCTGTTATGTAAATATTTATAAATCTAATGTTTATATTTATAAACATATTTTAGAAATATTATTACATGTATAAATAAATACAATATATTTATGTTTATATTTCAGTTACATGTACATTTGTGTGTATGTATGTAGACGTATCAGTGACTATACATATGTGTGTATGTCAGTATTATGACATGTACATACTGGATCATGATACAAAATGCAGTTCTTTATTGTTGGTCCTAGTAAGAAAAAAAACACTGGCTAAGTGACCCTTATGACCTTTTCTAAGACTGTAAACCTGTGGATAACTCTTACTAGACTATGAACTTCTTTTTAAAGATTTTTAATTTTTAATTGTGGTAAAATACACATAACATGAAATTTACCATTTTAACCATTTTATAGCGCACAGTTCAGTGGTATTAACTATATTCACATTGTTGGGCAACCATCACCACCATCCATCCCCAGAACTTTTTTCATCTCTCCAAACTGAAACTCTGTCCCTGTTGAACACTAACTCTCCATTCCCTCTCCCCCCAGCCCCTGGCAACCCCCATTCTATTTTCTGTCTCTGTGAATTTGACTACTCTAGATACCTTATATAAGTGAAATCATATAGCCTTTGTCTTTTTATGACTGGCTTCTTTCACTTAGCATCATGTCCTCAAGATTCATCCATATCATAGACTGTGAACTTCTTTCAAGGAGAACTGTCGTGTTCAGACGCATCCCAATGACCACGCACAATATAGGTGTCCAAAATCCAAGTACTGTGTTAAGTGGAAAACTGTGTCTCTTTAGGGGGATATTGTGTTCTATCAAAAATTGAGAAGCCTGGTCTAATATTGTTCTTCCTGAGCAGAGAGTTGAACAGACATAGTACTGGCTGGTGGGGTGGTGAGAGTGTCTTGCATTTTTTTTGCTTAATATTTGGATTTCATTTTGGCTCAATAAAAGAAATCCCAGGGCCAAGCAAGTTTGGCTGCCTTCTCTCAACCGACTAGGTCATTTAAACCACATTTGCCCTATGGGACGGTAAGTGTGCTGACAGATAAGACTTAAAGTAGAGCAATAAAGATTGATAAACTGAGTTCCGGAGAGTAAGGTGTGACAGGAAAGAAGGCCAAGAAGGAAGGTGAGAGGAAGGTAAGTCCAGAAGGACAGAGTGTCCGCATTAAACCAACAGTATGAAGAACGGGGAAATTCAGATCTTTTGTGCTGTTGATTTTCAATAATTGGGTATGTTCAAAACCAGTATCATAATCCAGAAGGGCTTAATTTTTCCTGACCCCTTAAGATCCTTTCTCCAGACCCCCTTGATATCTTTATATTATTTCTCACTTAACTGGAGACTATCATTTGGAGATACAGAATTCCCAGAGATTTTGAAATCATCGGTAGATAGAAATGAGACATTTATTTGGGGAGGAGGCTAGAAATTTGGGAGAAAATTATAAAACATTCAAAATGTGATTTTTATAATGCTCTGTAGAGAAACAAACTCTATTCCCCCCCCCCCCGCTTTTTATTGGCTCGGCTAATAAACACTCATCATGTATAATTTAATTTGCTTATTAAGTTAGAATTTGCTATATTTAGAGATGTGATAGTCTGGAAAAAGATTATTTTTCCTGTTTTTCTTTGAGGAGGAGTATAGAAAAAAACCTCTTCTGATATTTTAAAAAGCATTTTGCAGGTTTTTACATTTTTATTTCCACTAGGAAGACAGGAAAATACACAGATAGAGGTCCACTCCCCCGGCTTTCCCACACACACCTACGCTTCTGCCTTCCCTCCCCAGCTCTCACTGGTCTTTTTTATGCATTCAAACTGATCTTTGCTGTGTGTCCATTCCCTTAGGGTCCTTCTGTCAGAGGTAGGTGGTAGCAGGCAAGAGGACGGAACAGATTGGAAGGGGTAGGGCTCTGGGGTGATGGGCCTAATTTAGGCAGAGCACAGGCAACCCAGGAGTTCAGAGAACAAACCAGGGACTGTGAATCCAGAGAAGGGAGCCGAGTGCAGACTGTAGGGTGAAGACCCAGCTGGCGAGGCTGGCGAGGGGGTGAAGCAGAGTGCAGAGTTCCAGTGGGTCGTTTGGGGGTCAGTGCCCAGAAGTGCGAGCCAGGGAGAAAGCAAAGTTGAAACCAGGATTGAGGCAACAGGTGGATAGACCCCGTTAGCTGATAATGCTAACACAACTTACCTGACTGTCGATCCTGGGGCAGGTGTCTCTGCCTTCTTCGTCTGCCACCAAACAGATATGTAAGGACTCAGCAAGTATCCCGTGAACCCTGCCTGAGAAATATAGTACCCCAAAAGTGGTCTGTCTAGCTAACCAAAAGTGTTTTTTTTTTTTTTATCAAATTAAAGAACTCAGGTACAGAGTAGATATGGTATTGATAATGGTGACAAAGAAAATACTAGAATTTCGATTGTTTGTCTAACTATTTTTCTTTATTGGGGGGGCAGAAGGAGAGGGAGAGAGAGAATCTTCAGCAGGCTCCATGCCCAGCGCAGAGCCTGACGGAGGTCTTGATCTCACAACCCTGAGATCACAATCTGAGCTGAAATCAAGAGTCAGATGCTGAACCAGTTGAGCCACCTGGGGGCATTGAGTTTTTGTCTAATTATAATCAACATATTTATAGAGCTGAATACAAATGTCAAATATCTTAAGGCGAAGGAATATGTCTACTAAATTCATCATTGGGTTACTTCCTAACACCTTCCTAGCGTTATGCATTGACTAGATTCTAAATAAATATTTGTTGAAAGAGTAATTTAAGAAAGAAATCAATAATAGTAATCCAGAACTGAAAATACAGATCACTATGACAAAATCAGAAGATTTGTGGTGAAAGGAAATAAAAGCATGCAAAATCTCTCATCTTTCACAAAGAAAACCATTTGCCACTGTTTTCTTCTTAATGTAATAAAACATAGATATAAATGATTTTTAACTTGGAGATTAAAACCAGATGTAAAACTTGCAAAGCACTGGGGAAGAATGAAAGAATAAAGAAAACAAGAATAATATTGTAAAAGATGAGAATCTCCCTTGGTCGTAGCTAAATGTGGGTTGGGAAGCTGGCTCTGCTCCTCCAACTTAATCTTGGGAAAGGCACTGACCCTCTTGGGTCCTCTGTCTCTTCATCTGAAAAGGGTGGGAAATGGAGATGCCAGAGATCACCACGGCTCCTCCCATCTACGGGCAGAGAGCTTGACCCGTGGAAATGCCTATAGATCTATTGCTTGTTCTCTGCTGATGTGAA